GGTTGCAGCGGGGGGAGGGGCTGCCGCGGCGGGGAGGGAGAGGGCACAATGCGCCGCAAAGACGTTCGTTGCTCCCGCGCAGGTCATCGACTCTTTCACCGGCGCGGGCGCACGCCACCGACCGCTTTCGATAACTTGTCGATCCGAGCGAGATGGCTTTATGCACATCGCAGTAGGGGGAAAGGGAGATGAATAATAGAAAAAAATTGCTACAATTAATGAAAAATATCGCGTGTGTTCTATAGTTTTTATCGGCTTTAATGACCAAATGATATCGCTCATCGCATAGACACCGAATGGGATGAACCGCGTTAGCGATCTCTTATGTAATGTTGGAAAATTATTTTGCGACCCTTTCATTTAGATTTCCATGTTTCATAAGTACAGCAAGCAAGTAAATTATTACGAAGATAGATATTCACTCTTGAACTTGATCAAATAAATCAGGAAATTTATAATAGATGTAATATATTTATAATAGATGGCTTTGATTCTACCTTTTCTATGGACACTGAAATTCTTCAGTAAAAAAAAATCACACACACAAAGTTTGCTTTAATTAACTCACCTTTTTCACGCCCTTTAATAATGACTCTATTATTATAGTACTAGCTTGGTTAATTTCATAATATTAAAAGTAAAAAAATTGTTGATAATTTTACAAAAGGTAGAATAAACGTTTTTTTTTTATTATCTGTGCATTCCATGGGTAATTCTACATAAGTTTTTGTTGCAGTGGTCATTTCTCTTGGCTTTTGCACGCGAAAAAAGTAATTTTACACCAGCTTTCCATTACGCGGTTAGGAGTTAATTAAAAGTTGAAGCGATTAGCTTTTTACAATCGTATTTTATATTACAAGTTTAATTGTAAAAAAACACGCGAATAGACGTCAATTGTTTTTAATTAAAAATATATGGCTTCCTTATTTAAACTGAATTATTTCTATCAGGCAAAGAACAAATGTTCATAAATCGTGACAAAAATATTGTAAGTATAGCTTGAAATATAAAATTTTCACCATATTGCTGAATAATATCAAACTGATTTCTTTGCGTACGAAATTCATAGAATATAGATGCCGAATGAAGTGCTCCCAGGAAACCAGAAGAGAAATCATATATTCTTGGTTAGGCTATAGTTAAGTAATCTAATGAAATGTAATAAATCGGCCAACCAAGGGAGGAGTTATGCCATAACACATTAAAGAAAACATACAGACGAATTGAGTACCTCATTCTTTTGGGAAGTCGGTCAAAAATATGAGAAATTGGAAGTGTTTAAATGGCTACATAATATAAAATCGTAATCTGTAAATTCATTTTTAGATTTAATTTGTTAAAACATGAAATACATGTACATATGTGGCTTCATGGTGGCATCTAATTATTTTCTTAATACCAACATTGTCAACAAAACTCTGGAAAGTTCCAGCTCGATCACGGAGCATACGCTGTTATTACGCAGTTTTCACGCGCAGCCTTGGCACTTATTTCTTTACTTTATTCCCATCTATAATAACAGAGGTAGAACAATTTTAACTGATAATATAAACAGGATCCAAAATCTTTTTAATAAACAAAAAAATAACCTAATTTTTAGGTTAGATACTTCATTCTTGTCTATTATTCAAAGAGTAGGCAGCCAAAAATATCATTGCTTTTTATATTCAGCCAGCATTAACTAAAAAAAAACTTAACAAAATGATGAGAATTCTATCTTTTCAGTATCGACCTTTATAGCAACAAAAGTAGTAATATATTAACAACATCGAGGCCGAATAATTGCAGACAAAAAATAACTATTCGACATAGCACGCACTTGCTGATCTCAACACACGCACTTGCCGCGTGACGATACATTGAAAAATGCAAGCAGTACTAAAATTATTTATGCGTATGCCTTCTAATATAGATAGCAAGAAATAATTTGTTACAAATCTAGATTAACTTTGTTAAGTAACTGGATACACATCAAGTTAGAGTTGGACATCAAAATTATCTGTAAACATTTGTATTTCAGTAGCAAATAATTGCCACTAATATGCGACGGTATCGAAGGAAACTTGTTGCTGAGTTGTAACAAGGGATAGATTTTAGTTTGGTTCGTACTGTATTACTATGGGTGTTCAAAATTAAAAGCTACAGACGTTTGACTCTTTTGTACAAATTGAGAAAACTCTAAACAGTAACAAATAGCAGCATTTATATGTGTGTTGTATTAAGAAAGCTCTATCAGTGTAGCTTTTAACTATTACTACTTTTGCGCAATTCACAGCTACCTAATATTAGACAACTTATTTAATTGATACTGTCGCTTTTAACTCAGAGCAATACTTCTCGTCAAGACTCAAGTTATGCGCCAATCTATCCATACTTCTAGTGACATTGACAGCTGTCAGCTAGGGACGTGACGTTTATGCTGATAATCTAGAGTTGTGCCAACTCTACAGCACGGTACTAATTTTGTTTCTAACACTAATTGATTATTTTATAAGAAAAGTCGGAGTTTATCGTTGCAAAGAATATTTCTGTAAGCGTATCTGCGGATTCCGGTGAAATTCATTGAAATTCTGATTGATACGGTTGTCCTTGTATTCTGATCAGCGACAGATGTCATTCGTATGACATATTCCCATCATGACATCAGGCACAAGCTTTCCCCGCTGTCTACCGCCAACTGCCGACTGTACCTCATTTGTTAGTGTGATACAAGCATTTTGCTTACTAACGAAATTTATGTTTAAAACAATTTAATTATACCCGTCTTACTTACTGATTCACTAATCTAACAAACACATTTTTTACTGATGCAAAAACCATGTAAGTCATCATGATTTCAGAAGTTCATAGTAGTTACCTTTTGTAAAAGCAATTTCATTTAGCATAACCAAATTTAATTGTATTGGAAATAGTATTAGACAATAGAAAGTAATGATTATTTGATATGTGGTCAATATAATTGGTATCTTTTTTAATTTCTTGAATAATCTCAACGCTAAACATTTGTTAGTCACATCGTTACAAATTAAAAACGATAAACCGCGTATAATCCGTAGATTGGATAGTGCAGCGCAGCGTCGCGAGCTCCTTTCACTTTTGGCGCGCGCGTCGCGTGACAGAAAGTGACAGTGAAGCGATGACGTGCCGCCTGCCGCCATGACGCTATCGACTGCCAGAAATAATGCTATATCGTTCAGAAAGATAATTCAGAACTGATATAAATCCTAATTATCGTATAAGAGCATCTCTATTTTAGTTTAAAAACAA